TGTGGGCTCTCTTTCAAACTTAATTGCCCCCTTGCCTTTGTGGTGACCTGGGCATCGAGAATTTTTGCCCTCGCGGGCAGAGATGGTCGCATTTTCTTTCGGGGTGCTCTTCACTAATCTGGCGAAGGCCTTCTTCCTCGTGCTGGGAAGGTAGGAGGGTGTAACAGCAGTGCTGTGAGGCATCAGCAGGAAGCTTTAAGCTGGTTAATGCAGTATAATTGTCTGGACACAGGCCGGTCTTTGTTTGCGCGGTTCACTTCGAATCAGCCGTAATTAACTCCAGAGTGTTTCCAGATTGCCAGCAATGGGGAGAAAAAATGCCACTTTTCGGTTTTAAAGCCCTCCGAAAAAAAAGCTCCTATGCAGATTACGCCGCCTTTGATACTCGTTCCTTCTGTTTACAAAAAAAAAAGAGTAGAAAAAAAAACATTTCCTTTGAAAAGTCATGAGAAGTCAGGAGTTCGTTATGTCGTATTACGAGTTTCGTGTGAGGGACAGTCGCGGCCGTCTTTCTCGCTTTTTCCCCCCACTCAAAACAGACCTCAGAAAACATTTGTGTGGTGCTAATTTGTTTACCGAGTTAAGAAAAAAAAAAAAAAGAATTTATGGAAGAGCAATTTGTGCGACGCTTCCTCAGGTCTGCACACTGAGGCACCGTAGCTTAGGTATAATTATATGATATCTTTTTAACATCGAGCTCCAGGAGAGTGATCATAGGGGAGACTCTGCTGTTACACCTCTGGGCACAAAGGCCATCAGCAAGAACCTTCTGGAAAGAAAGTTCAGGATTTCCACCCCCCCCTCTTTTTCTTTTGGACTTTAACTATAAAGAATTAAGCCTTAGTGTGGCCTCAGGGCTAAGGAGCTCCTTGATGTCTGGATAATACCACTTTGATGGATTTTTCATCAGTTCTTTCTACACGGCAACAAATAAACAAGTGTAATTACACTCGCAAAGGCCTATTCATTGCATTGTCAGGATTAGATATATGTTCACTTTTCACAATGTGCCTTTCCTTTGTCTTTGCTTAACTCACTATGACATTTTGATAGAGGATTTGGTGTTGGGAAAAGGCCACAGCAGAGACAGTGATGACCTTTTGCAAAAACCTGATATAATTCAAGGATATTTCATTTATTTTTTTCCTTATCTCCCTCCTATAAGTTGCGAGAGGGCCCTTACTACATAGGCATGCTAACTTTTAACCTGCATTTTTCCAGGGGAAAAAAAACGGGGGGGGGGGGGGGGGGGGGGGGGGAGAGAGACGGAAAAGCAAGCGCAAAGAGGGACACTAAAAGAGAAGAAATCCCATGCTTAAAAAGCTTTGGGTCCTCCACTGAGAGCCCCCAAAAAGCAGATGGGGAGGGGAAAGCGGTGGATAGAGAAAAACAATAGGCAAAGGGAGTCTTTTAGCCTCCTTTTCCAAAGAATTTAGAACTCTGGAAAATCTAACATTCCAGTCTCATTATTCTTCCTCTTGATCAGATCACATTCTTTTTAATCACTTCACAGGCAGTGTCTCCACGGACCACAGAAGAGGGCCGGGACAATCTTAATTAAAAAACAGAGGTAGAGACAGTGTTTGCCACGTCTTTGTTCTAATGGGAATGGGAGAAGTTTCAGCGCAGGGAGATCTGCCCCCCCATTGTTTAGGGCCCCCTTCATAAAGAAAAAAAAAAGTTTTAAGAGAAAGATCTTTGTGTAGGTAGAGTTTTTTTGTGTCGGTATGTTGTGTAGGCTGAAAAGAGCGTACTGACCGACCGGGAGAAGGAGTGAAGGAGATAAGCTGCAAATGCAGGAGAGGGGCAAGGACTGTGCAGGGAGTTGTGCTCTTCTGCTGGGCTCTAAGGTTCGTTTTTTCGGGGTTTGGAAAGCACAAAGAGTCTGGAGGAAGAGGGTAGATAGTGAGATGGTTTTATTATTCATAAGCGGTGATTGCTGTGGAGAGATGTTACGTTGTGGTTCAATTTGTTGTAGTGTTTTTTATTACTTATTTATTTTTTTGGCGATAAATAGCTATCGATGATCTGTGTTTACGTCTGGCCACCTGCGTATTGCTTCATTTCGCTTTGGTGTATATAAATATTATCGTTAAACATCCACGCGCAGAACATGAACCGGTCGGGTGTTGGGCTGTAGCAGACTGTGTTTATATTGGGTGTGTTTGAAGGTGGTGAAGGAAGCACAGAAACGGCTTTAGAGGTGCACCTGCTGGCCGCGGAATGATTCGCCTGATCACTGCAAAAAAGCAACAAATCTCAAGGTCACAGCGGCTGATCGGCTGGGAGCAGAGCTGTCTGCCGGAGATGTTACGTCGTAAAGCACGTCACGTCTGCTGCATCGCAGGGCTGTGTGTTTAGCGTGTCTTGTGTCTTGTGCCTGGGTCCCAGTGGAACACGAGCTGTGGCCCCAGGGTTTTGGACAGAGATTGTGGGGGTGGTGTTGGGGGGGGGGGGGGGGGGGGGGGGGGGGGGGGGGGGGGGGGGGGGGGGGGGGGGGGGGTGTTTCTGCCTATCTGCTGTGCTCTGCACACCTAGAGGGAAGGTTTGGAAATAATCACAGAGGATCTTTCGCTGACCTTGTGCTGTCTTCATTTGTGAACTCATTTTCGTTCAGTCATATTTTTTTTTATTATATATCCTGATGAGAACCTGGTGCATGTGGGCCTTTGCATGCATGTCTGTATGTTCTGTCTTAATGAGGATCCCAGCTAAGTCAGAAGTACATATGAAGCTGATGTTTGGTGTGTAGTTATTACTGTAAGTGTGTGGAGGGGTGTGGGTGTGCGTGCACGTGTGTGTGTCCGGGATGTGTTTATATAACATAGTGGGTACTCGATGTTCTCACAATGTGATAAAAACCTGATATTTTGTCATCGTGGGGACCATTGCTCCCCGGAAGGGGAAACTCAATTTCTTAAAAATCTGCTACTACAGTAAAAAAGATAAAAATGCAAAAAGTCTTGTATTTTGTTTGGTTACTTATGGTTAAAGTTAGGGCTGGGTGTGGGTTCAGGTCGTCATTGTTGGGATTGGGGTTTTGCCCCTAGAAATGAAAGGACGATACAGGTCTCTGTGTGTGTGGATTAGGTATATATTACATTGTGGGGCCCATTTTTCAGGTCCCCACAAAGATTGTTGTCATGTTGTGATTAGAGTTTTCCCCATATAAATGAATGGAGAGTCCCCACAAAGATATAATTACAGTCCTGTGTGTCTGTGTGTGTGTTGTTTCTTAATGAGGATCCCAGGTAATTCCAGCTAATTCCCGATAGTAACTGAATGTGCCCCTCAGATTTTTACATTGAAATGTGTTTGAAATTACTTTATATTTTAAATTTATACCTAAATTTCGTGGCTATGTTTTTTCTATGTTTCACTCTGAAGCGTTTAAACTGACCAGATATTTCTCCATGCTTAAAATCCTGCTCTAAGTGACTGTTCCTCTGTGCTTCATGTCTGTGGGATGTTTCCACTGGCTCAGTTTATGCATGGCTTGTTTCAAATTAATCCACAAAATTGCTCTGTAGCAAGGCAAAGACAAGCTCTAAAGAGCCGTTTAATGCAAAGCTGACCAATAGATGCAGCTTATCTGCCGGTTTTTTTTTTTTTTTTTTTTCCAAAAAAACTTTGAAACAGTTGTTTGATGCCAGTGGTCACTGTTAAATGTGTGTTTCTTGAAAAAGCAGTTTTATGTTTTGTGCCTGCTGATAGGTTTGTCTGAGAAGCAGAAACAGTAGAGGGAAAACGATAAACAAAATAAACCCTGAAACAATTCCAGAATAACAACTACCTTGTTGAACAAGCTGGAGACTTGGGGATGTGACATTCCGACTGGACAAGTTGGCCAGGGCCCGAGGACTGTCAATCCCAGTGTGTGCGTGTGTGTGTGTATGTGTGCGCGCACGTGTGTGTGTGTGTGTACGTGTTCGTGTGTGTGTGTTCGCGCGTGTGTGTGTGTGTGCACGTGTGCGCTGTTGTGACTGGCAAGGTTTAAGCTGCTCTGGCCAGCCCTTTCTAGAGTTGGATATGACGCGGGCGGGGGGGGGAGGTGCCTTTCATTCCCAGTTTCGGCGAGGACTCTGCTGGGCCCACATCTGCATTCCTGCCAATGGGAACAAATTGTTTGAGTTTCCAGCCGGCGAGAAGTGGTCGAAGGATTCTCATCAGCAGGGCCGGCGTATGATTGGCTGAAGCGGGGCGAGAGGCTGATTGAGGTTGTAGCGGTTGAGAGATGGCCAGATCTCTGCAATTGATAACATCACAGTGGTATTTGAAATGGTGTTTTTTATGTGCTTTTTTGAGGGCGAGAGAGAGTGAAAAATTTATGGCCTCTTTCCCTGGGATGATTGGACCGAAAATTAATTTTCGTTTAGTTGCTTGTCGAGGTAGCAGAAGTGCGAGGTAGCAAGGAGGTTAGTGCTTAATCAGGCCTTCTTATGTACCTACTGATGGATCCCAGGACTGTATTTTTATAGATGAACTCCTGGAGAAGCTGGTCCTATGAACGAAAGTGGTTCTGCTTCAGATTTATTTGGTCAAAAGTGAGGTGCTGGTAACTGTCAGGTAACGAAGGCTATTACGTTTCTTTCTAGACTTTAACATTTTTTATACTGATCAAAGGACGGAGCTAGGACTGAAAGACAATTCCCTGAACCTTAATGAGGGTCTCTCTTCAATTCTGTTGACATGAGATCATTTTAAATTGATTGTTAAAAACGATAAATTAGCTGATGTGGTTTAACTTTCAAATTATGCTTTGAAAGTCACGGTAATAAATAAAATCATGTTTGTAATCAGAGTTAAGCCCTGTGCCGGTACTCTTACCAACTTACAGGCTGCCCACACAGAAGTCCCCTTAAATCACATTGATGCATGGCCTGTGGATGAAGAGGTTTCAGGTGGTAATATAGGAAAGCAGTGGGCAGGTGGTGAACAATGAAATTATTTTACAAAAATGGGTCTCTTTTGCTTTATTATTTATTCTTTTTCTCTTACAGGTCCCTGACAGGCTGGATGAAATGAGATCCCCATGTAGCGATTGCCATGGAAACCTGTGACTCCCCTTCTATCTCGAAGCAGGAGAATGGGCAGAAGATATCAAAGCTACGTCAGACGACACATCTTGATAATGAGGTGCCTCAGAAAGGTGCAGGGATGGAGCCTGACAAGGAAAACAGCCCCGCGGATGACAACCTGAGGACGGACGAGAGCTGGAGAGAGATCGCATCGGGAGCGAGCACAGAGAATGCTGGTGCCCCCCGGGTCAGCGCAGCAAAAGAGATCCCGTGCAACGAGTGCGCCACTTCTTTTTCTAGTTTACAAAAATACATGGAGCACCACTGCCCCAACGCACGCCTTCCCCTCCTGAAGGATGACAACGAGAGTGAGGTCAGCGACTTGGACGACAGCGACGTGGAGAACCTGACGGGGGAGATCGTTTACCAGCCCGACGGCTCAGCTTTCATTCTCGAGGACTCCAAAGAATGTGGCCAGAATGCCCAGCCTGGAGCAAAAAGCCTCTTTTCCCCAGCAGCGTTCCCAAACCTGCAGACCATCGCCGGGGACAAGACTGAGCAATCTGCCACTGCCCCCGTGTCCTTCTACCCCCAGGTTATCAACACGTTTCACATCGCTTCGTCTCTCGGGAAACCATTCACGGCCGACCAGGCTTTCCCAAATACCTCAGCGTTTGCAGGAGTCGGTCCTGTGTTGCACAGTTTCCGCGTCTATGATCTCCGGCACAAGAGTGACAAAGACTATCTGACCGTTGACGGCGCCGCCAAAAACTCCTGTGTGTCCAAAGATGTCCCTAACAATGTGGACCTGTCCAAATTCGATGGTTGCATAAGTGACGGGAAAAGGAAACCCATTCTGATGTGTTTCCTGTGCAAGTTGTCTTTTGGTTATAGTCGGTCATTTGTAACCCATGCTGTGCATGATCATCGGATGACCCTCAACGCAGAGGAGCAGAAGCTCCTCAGTAATAAGTATGTCTCTGCCATCATACAGGGGATTGGCAAAGACAAAGAACCTCTTATAAGCTTTTTGGAACCAAAAAAATCCAACTCTGTATTACCCCATTTTTCTACTGCAAATTTCATGGGTCCTGACAGGGGCTTTCGTGGTTTATGGAACGCTTTTCATGTTGAAAACGGTGATTCTTTGCAGGCTGGTTTTGCCTTCCTGAAGGGAAGCGCAAGTTCTGCTGCCACTGCAGACCAGCTGCTGAGGAACCCTCAAAAGCCAAAGGCCGAAGTGAACCTCGGGGGCTTGTCTGCGCCGGCGACGAAGGCCCCTGTGAGCGCCGTGTCCCTTGGCCGCCTGCCATCGGCGGCAGGGCGCGCCGACCAGGAGAACAACTGTGAACGGCAGAAGGACATTAGCACTTTGCATTCGAATGGGGAGTTCCCCGTCAAAAGTGAACCCAGAGAAGCGGTCGACGCAGACGAAGATGAGGACGCGTACTCCAACGAGCTTGACGACGATGGTGTAGGTGAACTAGTGGACAGTGCAAGTAGCAAAGATTTCCCTCTCTTAAACCAAAGCATTTCTCCTTTATCGTCCAGTGTGCTAAAATATACTGAAAAGGGTACCTCTTCTTCCTCTGTGACTGTTTCTGACGACGTAGAGAAGAGCAAGCAGAATTCTGTACCTAGGGACAGTAGCAGCGATGCCAATAGCTATTGTGGAAGTGGAAAAGACTACGCAGACCCTGCTGGGGGTCGAGATGGCACCCCGCCGTCTATCCTGAGCGACCTGATGCGAAGAGACGACGAGAGCCCAGGCCCTCCTCACCAGCAAACTGCCCCACCTGGTACGCCGGGCACAGGGGAAGGCTCCCCTGGCAGTGGCATCGAGTGCCCCAAATGCGACACCGTCCTGGGGTCATCACGCTCACTGGGGGGTCACATGACCATGATGCACTCACGGAACTCCTGCAAGACTCTGAAGTGCCCCAAGTGCAACTGGCACTATAAGTACCAGCAGACCCTGGATGCCCACATGAAGGAGAAGCACCCTGAGTCCGGAGGCTCCTGCCTCTACTGCCGGACGGGCCAACCGCACCCCCGGCTGGCGCGAGGCGAGAGCTACACCTGCGGCTACAAGCCCTTCCGTTGTGAGGTATGCAACTACTCAACAACTACCAAAGGCAACCTCAGTATTCATATGCAGTCCGACAAGCATTTGAACAACGTGCAGACCCTGCAGAATGGCGGCACCGAGCCGGTGTACAACCATTCGGTGCCCGTCTCCAGCGCCAACCTGAGTAGTTGTGGCACCCCATCCCCATCCAAGACCAAGCAGAAGCCCACGTGGCGCTGCGAGGTATGCGACTACGAGACCAACGTGGCGCGCAACCTGCGCATCCACATGACCAGCGAGAAGCACATGCACAACATGATGCTGCTGCAGCAGAACATGAAGCAGATCCAGCACAACCTTCACCTGGGCCTGGCCCCAGCCGAGGCAGAGCTGTACCAGTACTACCTGGCCCAGAACCTGGGCCTCACCGGCATGAAGCTGGAGAATCCGGCCGACTCTCAGATGATGATTAACCCATTCCATTTGGATCCCACCACAGCTGCTGCGTTGACCCCAGGTGTCGGTGAGTACGTCTTCTTCTATGCTGTGGCACTGTCCTGGTAGATCTATAATCAGCACCTTTTTGGTTTTTATTTTAATTACTGCTGTGACCGCAAACAGATATTTCATTACCTTTATGAAGGAAAAATATAAGGGAAAAAAAACAATGAATCGTGAAATTCCATACTGTACATATAGATTTATTGGGGGCTTTTTATAGAAATGATCCAGACTGCAAGTAACGGCATGGCGATGAACCGAGCCGGTTGTGGTTCTTTCTATGTTCCTCGGTCTGCTTTTAAGGGCTAAAAGTGTCAGGCTCTTTTGTATTGATCAGCTTTCATGTCTGCAAAAAAAAAATACACACACAAATTCAGGAATGACATTACGCCCATAGGAGTAATTAAAGCTATCTGATCAGGGATTTTAGAAGTTGAAAGGAATGAATGTAATTGATCCTGATTCAATCCTATTACAGCTTTTTATAGTTTAAGCTTTATAGAAGCCATACAGAGCACAAAGGCTTATTTTATCAAATCCTTTTGTGTGTGTCCTCCAATGATCTTTGCGCTCTGTTGTAATTTTATTTAATAAAAACCTTTTTCCTGTTTTCTGTGCCCCATTTCTCTCTTTCTCTCTCTCTCTCTCTCTCTGTCATTCCCCTGTCCCTTTCCCTCTCTCCTCCTTCGCAGTAAATAACGAGGTGGCATCAGAGATCCGTCTCACCAGCGGTCAGCTACCAGGTGACGACCTGTCTGTCCTCTCCGCCGGGGACCTGTCACCCTACATCAGTGACCCTCTGCTGAAGCTGTTTCAGTGCGCCGTCTGCAACCGCTTCACGACGGACAGCCTGGAGGCCCTGAGCGTACACGTGAACACGGAGCGCATGCTGCCCCAGGAGGAGTGGAGGGCCGTGATCGGGGACATCTACCAATGCAAGCTCTGCAGCTACAACACGCAACTCAAAGCCAACTTCCAGCTGCACTGCAAGACTGACAAGCACATGCAGAAGTATCAGCTGGTGGCACACATCAAAGAAGGCGGCAAGGCCAACCAGTGGAGGTTAAAGTGCATCGCCATCGGAAACCCCGTGCACCTGAAATGCAACGCTTGCGACTACTACAGCAACAGCGTGGAGAAGCTGCGGCTGCATGCCAGCAGCCAGCGGCACGAGGCGGCGCTGAAACTCTACAAGGTAGGAGACCCACTGGAGTTCGGAGCTGTCGAGTGAACCTCCACCCTCTGGACACTGCAGTCTAAAAATATCAGCAAGGTTCTGCTAAAAATGGGTCATAGGTGAAGGATTAAGCGAACTGGGGGCTTCATGGACAGATGAATAGTTATGGAGATCCAGAGTCACACACAGACCGAAGCCAGCTTAAATAAATAAATAACTGGACAGTAGCTCAGGCTACTAATGGGCCCGACGGCATTTTGTCAGGTCCGAATCCCACTGGGTCCCACGTCTAGTCTGTGTAAGGGAGATAAGTACGGGGCCGAGGTTTACTTTTCAGGCACCTTCATTTTCTGATGTCAGATGTCATTAGTGGACCTGTAAATTTGATTTGGACTCACCGCCCTTCTGGGGGGGACCTACCCCTCCCGTCTCTCTTGTTCCCGTTAAGTGGCGAGGAATCTGCCAGCCTGCTTACACGATGCCTTCGGAAATCAAAGTTAATCGAGTTCAAAAAAGGGAGGGCCGGGGGGGGGGGAGAAGTATTATAAATATATATGTATTGTGGTGACACGGGCAGGGGTATAATTGTTGTTTTCAAAGTGTTCCCTTACTTTAATCAGTACTGTCGTCGGCTGAGTGACGGCAGGCTTTGGGTTCTCGTAAACAGCCGAGGTGACTAACTGTCTGCGCGTGTGTGTGTGCGTGCGTTTGTGTGGGCGGGGGGTGCATCTCCTTTTCTAATGCCTGTTGTTTTAACAAGAGAGCATGTTTTATTTCAAGCGTGAGTATTGTATTCTGTAGGAATTTCTTATAGAATGCTGACAGAATGTTTGGGCCAAGTGGCCGAGAGTGGAGGCTGTGGGAGGGTGTGGGATAAGATGATCACTGCTCTATCATCCTGTGCTTAAGTGCTTTCGGGTGTTGACTTACTGGGATGGTGCGATTGCCTGAAACAGTTATACCGGCATCCTGAAATCATAGACCAGCATTACATCCTGGACTCATTAGAAGCACTTTTCGGGATAAACTTTATTAACGTGATGAAGATCTATCAAGCGGCGTTCAGCCACTTTCGGCTCCGCGTGCCGCTGTGAGCCGGACTCGGGCCGCACCTTAAAATTAACTTTTGGGAAAGTTCATTTAGCTAGTAAAGCTGGACCTTGGTAGGAAGAGCACCCTTATGATCAGACTGATTGAAGATGAAGGTCGAAGCATTTCCGAATTATAGGAAATGGTGTGTGTGTGTGTTGGGGGGTGGGGGGCGTAAAATATTAAATTATAAAATAGGGCAGTGGGGTATGTAATATTTTCCAATGGTTTTACTCAAACTAATCTCATCTGGAAAGCGTTTAGAAGGCAGGGAAGGTCTACTATTAACTCAGGGAGTCTCTCTTTATTCAATAACATGGACGGTGTTGGTAACGTGGCTGTTAGTAACTCAGCAACGACGAGCCAATCCGAGATAGAGTGAGTCGAGCCCTTGAAGAAACGGGAGCAGACTTTAGGGGCGTGGACAGAGAGAATGGATCCACGGGACAGTTTTAAAATCCTTAGCAGTTTAAAATGGGCTGGGGGGGGGTAGGGGGGGACAGTAATTCTTTAAGCAAATAAAAAAGGTTCCATGGCAACAAAGACCATTTTGGATAACGGAAGAAGAAGAACAGATTGAAGATTAGGAGGTGAGAAATTCCATAGTTCAGACTTTTATCCCTGGGCTGTGGCTGTGAGCACGTGCAGGATGGACCAGTCCCACTCCGCCTGTGTTATTCGTTTCATTAATTATTTGTCAGTTTATTTAGGGAAGCCATTAAAGATCGTAAATTTTTTTTTTCGCTGTTACCAACTTGGCGTGTAGGAAGCAGCCGTCAGCCCTGGCCCATGTCAGCTGGCCAATAAACACGCAGACTCGTGGAGATGGGCTTTCTGCTGCCATATGATCTCAAATTTCAGTATGTTTCTGTATCTGATGCCGTTACACCCAACAGTGCCGCCATAGCTTGCGTACTGAAGCTGGCTGTAGCTTTCGAGGATGCGGCAGATTTCAAAAGTCACCCGTCTCCCTTATCATCAATAAAAAAAGGTGGTATCATTAATTAAAATGATACCCCATAATTTTCCCAGGTGGGCTGTCATGGGAAATCACCTGTTTTTAGTTGTGTCTTTGCATCTATGCATCATTATTCCTATGAATTCTCTCCTTTCATCATTTCTCCCATAATGCATCTGGAGATCAAATTTTGAAAACTGGCTAATTTCATTTTTTGTTGCTTTTGAGAAGAAACCACCAGTAAGTCAGGCTCCATTATCAAATGTTACAGTTTTGGGACCCATTTCTCACGTAATCCAAAGAAGAACTTTAGTTAAATTTGCCAAAACTCACTAAGTCCACCGAAATGTTCTCGAAAATGTATCCCATGGATTGGGTGAATTTTGTAAATCTGCTCGTCAGTTTCTAATAACCCCCAAAGCTCTCACTGCATATCCCGACGTCTCAATTGTCCACCCCTCTTCCAGTCGGGCAGCGGACAGGTGGAAGCCCGGTGTGCTTTTGATGGAAAGAGGAAGACGGAGTGAGGGGAGTGAGGGAGGTGAAAGGTCCCTGGGGCGGCGATTGCTGTCCTTTCAGGCCGAACTCACCTTAGAAGAAGGAACGGGAAGAGAGATCTGTTTTACAGATGCCTTTTTAATGCATTTGGCAGGAATGAGACTCTTTAATGCCTGGACATGTGGTAGCAAAAAAAAAAGATTTCTTTATTTGACCAGGAAAAAAAAATCCTCCCCTTTTATGTTTTAAGGTGAAAGGCACATGGTGCTGGGCAGTGCAGCTGAACGCTCCGGAGAACAAAGCGCTGATGACCCTTCCATATGCTGCCGGAATACCGAATATCTTTATGGGCAGGGATGATCGAGGATGCTAAACATCAGCACGCTCTGCATTTTATCGCCTCTCTGTTCCGTAGGAATCTCACCGAGGGGGAACCTCTGTTTCTCCAGTTTTCCAGACGCCGATTGTGTCCAAATCGCATTAGCAGCACCAGTATTCCCCCCCCCCCCAACATGTGCACACACACACACACACACTTAGTTCTGAAGGTGAGCGTGGGAGTCACCGGCACGCCTCCAGTTCATGGCCGGGGGCCACTTTCAGATCAGGAATATGCCCCCCCCCTCCCCCCTCCCCAAAACGGCTAATGTAGTTTACAGGTTTCTACTTCGGAGGATACATTGAAAGAAAAGAAAAGGCCTTATTTAAAAATAAGAAAAGGGAAAGAAATCTAATGTCGCAGGATAATCGGCCTGATGTGGTAAAAAAAGACACGGAGGGTTATGAAATTATTCATAAGCTCTGGCACATTTGGATAAATATTAGTGTAAATCTGTCAAGGCCCCGCGCAGATGCACAGGAAGTGCGTGGAGCTTTGCGAAGGGGGGGGCGTGTCTGACCGCTTGGGTCATTTAAACCTGAGAACGTCCAGTGGGCCCGTGAGCCGGGGAGACGCCGATACAGGCGGGCACCTGCTCCGCAGCTGGCCATATTGTCAGGGGTGGGGGCAACGGTTTTCAGCTGAGGATGTCCAGCGCGTGTCTCCGGCGGACCGGTAGGAACCACGAGCTGCTTAATTACCCCGGGCCGGCTTGTTTCTTCTGCAAGCATCCGTCATTAGCCAAGCGGAAAGGTCCGTCTGGAGCCTTAGCACTCCTGTTCTATATTTGCTCCCCCCGCCCCCCACCCCCAAACCCGCCGGGGCCCACAGCGCGTATAATGCTCATCTTTATCATAGAGTCTGGCCAAGATGGTGCCGGCCCGGCTAGGGCTGCACCACCGTCCCCAGAGAGAGTCGGGTAGGCCGTCTCATTATCCGTGATATGGATGGCAACACCGTTGGTTGGGCCATGGAAACGAGAGAGGAAATTATAAGTGTGGAGGGGGTGGGGGGGGGGGGTGTTAGTTGGGGATAGGGGACAGTCCGTCTTATCATAAAAAAAGGTTTTTATATTTTTCATCCAGCATATCTTACCTCCCTAACCCCTCCTTTTTTTTTTTTCCAAAAAGACAGCTGTTCCCCCCCCCCCCATATCACCGTCAAGATGGTGGCCTTGTGACGGCCATGTTATTAACTTGGCAGTTATACCACATTCATTACAGTAGGTCAGGCCCGACCCACTCATTTGAAAATCAAATGGGCCATATATATGCAGCCCTAATTATTGGACTGTCACTGTGTCCGGCGTGATTGTGAAACGGGCAGGCCAACGAGTCTAACGCATTTGCATAAAAAGTCATTGTGCTACCCCGAGAATGGAAAGAGCCCGCTTTAAATGCACCCCCTTGCATTCGACCCCCTCACTCCCCCCCCCCCCCCCCCTAAATGCACCCCCTTGCATTCGACCCCCTCACTCCCCCCCCCCTCCCCACACACACACAGAAANCTCCCCCCCCCTCCCCACACACACACAGAAATCCGTGCCGCTCTCACCTCCATACTCCTGCAGCCAGTTATTTAAAAAAAAATCCTCCATTTTCTTTTTTTTGTCTCTGGCTTTGTTATGGGGGCCCAGAAAGTTTGTGAATGATCCTGGTTATTTATCGCTTATTTACTCCAGTGACCCGGGGATTTCCGGTATGTTCTTAACTTATTAGTGTTGGCAGTGTGTTTTTCTTTTTTCTTTTTTGTGATCGATGTAATTTTGCAAAATATGTAAAGTGCCCCGTGAATCACAGGCTGGAATTTGGTGAGCCCATTTCGGATGGCTCCCCCCCCCCTAATAGCACAAACAGATCTGTGGAAGGGGGAGAGGGTGGGGGGCTCGGATATTAACCCCCCCTCCCATGAATAAATGCATTTCATCGCGGTCGTCTGCCTGCCCTCTTCTGAGCATACAATCGGGGAGGTGGTGCATTCGAATGGTGTCAGCTTTCACCTGCACGCGGATTACAATGGAAATCTTTCAGAGGTCCGACTGAGAGGACGGGACTAATTAAAGCATAAAGACAGACGAGTGCAGGGACACAAAAG